TCGTTAGCCGCCACGTGGGAATAATTTAGAACTGGCCAATAGTGGGACACAAATTTGTGTCACAACCCAAAGGGTGTGATTTCTGTTTTTGTGTGCTTCGGCACTGCTAAATTGTTCCCGCTAAATTATCGCTTCCTTGCATGGTGGAGTTTTCTGCTGCAAAAGAGAACCCCGGTGCAAGGGAGCCCATTATTGGCCAGTTCTAAATTATTCACACGTGGCAGCTAGTGATTGGCTTGCTAGCCGTATAAGAGGCTTGGGTGGTTTCCGCCCAAGTTGGAGGACTCCACGAACAAGGGAGGAGGAGACTTCACGCTGTGCGAAGATCTCTAAGCGCTGCGGATCCTTACAGACCCAACGCATTTTAAGCAGGCAACGGAGGTCTGATCAACCTCTAGCCTCTCCCCGTTGCCGAGCGCAGTCCAGACGTATCCCTTCCTGCGCGCAAGAGAACCGGACCCACGGAGCCTAGCAAACTTCGTGTGAATCCTTGACCGATCTCAGAGCTCTTCTACCCGGGTTCGAGTCCTGCAGGTTTATCTTCCCGTCGCCGAAAACCCATTGCGACGTAGCCTTGTGTTTTGCATCTTCCCATCGCCGAAAACCCCTTGCGACGTACCCTCGTGCCCTGCAGGTTCGAGTTTTGTTTTGTTTCCTGTCTGTAACCGCAACTCAAGCAAGTTTTCCAGCCTACACCACAGCCATCTCGGTGTAAGTAAACAATCTTTTAAACTACCGCTAAGCTTTGTGCCTAATTCCAGCTTGACGGCCTTCCCTCTCCGACCCGGCGTGCCCGGGCTGCTGGCCACAGCCCGCGTGCAGCGCGGAAAAGGGCTCGGGTCGCTCCCGGCCCGCACAATTTGTATACGAATGGCGGGAACTCCTTGCACCGTGCATTTCTCTTTTGCAACCTAGAAATGCACCCTGCAAAGAAAGCTACGAGTGGCGGGAAATAATTTAGCAGTGCCGAAGCACGCACAAACAAAAATCACACCCTTGGGTTGTGACAACTTGAAGCGCTGTTGTAGTGCTGAGATTGCTTGGATGGTCCAGGGATGGTCCAGTGACCTGAGGAAGGACATTTTGTACCTCAAAACTTGTCTAACATCTTGCTTAACTAAAAAAAAAGTCATTAAAAAACTCCTGTAAAATAGTTCACAAATTCCTTGTGATTTTGGCAGATTTTAATAAAAAAAGATCAAAAATCAAAACATTTCATGCCAGACATTTTCTAATGAAATGTTTCTATTTCTGATTCAAAACAGTTTATTCTTTTGAAATTTAACTAATTAAAAAAAAAAAAGGATCATATAGTAAACGTAGGATTGTGGGAATCATAGGGAAGTAGGGCTGGAAAGTGTCACAAACCAAATTAAGTAGTGCCCATGTCACAAACAAGTAAAACCATTCAAAACAGTTTTAGTCTGCACTGGGTTAACTAAGAGTTAACTAACAAGAAGATAGTAACAGTTTTTTGCTGCGCATGTCAAAAAGAAATTTATAACTGCGACACCAACATGAAATGAAACTTAGCCTTCTGTGCTGTACATAAATCATTATAATTGGTCAAAGAAAACAAGGAGTGACTCTATGATAACACCTAGCCGAAGACCACTATACAATTGGCGATTCTAATT